TGTTATTGTTATTGTTATCATTATTATTATTATTTTTATTATTATTGTTATTTTTATTATTAGTGTTATTACTATTATTATTGTTATCATCATTATTATTGTTATTTCATTCTGGTTATTATTATCATTATCATCATCATTATTATTATTATTATTATTATTATTGTTATTATTATTATTATTATTATTATTATTATTATTATTATTATTATCATCATAACTATTATTATTATTATTATCATCATAACTATTATCATTATCACACACATCATTATTTTTATCATTACTATTATCATAATTTTTCTTATTATTATCATAATTCTTATTATTATTATTATCATTAATGTTATTGTTATTATTTTCATTATCAATCATCATTCTTACTGTCATTATTATTTTCAATATCAATATCACTATCATTATTACAGTAATAATTTCAGCGGATATGAAAATACCATAAGAAATCGTCATACACATACACATACAAGAATTTGATATTTACACGGAAGCTCGTGTTCTTGATTTTGGCGTGGCTTAACGCTAAAATAAAGCCGGCAAAAAATCTAGCTATTAGAGATGATAGTGTATATCAAGGCCAGTTATATCTGTTGATAATGATGATAGTGATAATAGTGGAGGTGATATTAATAATGATTGTGATAATAATGATGATAATAGAAATAATAATAGGAAAAAAAAACAATAATATCGATAATGATGGTAAACAATGATGATAATGATAATAGTAAAAATAATTAATCATAATAATAATTATATAATGATAATGAATATTATTATTATGATAATAATGATAACAAAAAGAAACATAATAATAATAACAATAATAATAATAATATTGATACTACTACTACTACTAATAATAATGATAATAATAATAATAATGATAAAAATACTATTATTATAATATCAACAATAACAAAGATAATAATATCAATAACGGTAAAAACAATAATGATAATGATAATGATAATATGATAATAATAATAATGAATAATAGTATCATTATTACTATAATTTTTATTATTATTATCATCATGATATTGATAATAATAGCAATTAACATAATAGATAATGATAATAATAAAATGATAATAGTAATAATAATAATGATGATAATAATATGAACAATATTATTATCATATATATATAATATATATATATATATATAATTATATATATATATATTACTTTTATATCATATATATATATACGTTTATATAGTATATATATATATATATAATATATATATATATATATATATATATATATATATATATATATATATATACTTATATATATATATATTATATATATATATATATATATATATATATATATATATATATATATATATGTCCGAATATATCTAACACACACACACACAACACACACACACACACACATATATATATATATATGGATATTTATATACATATGTGGGCATTCATTCCACTGCAGGACATAGGTCTCTCTCAATTTACTATTGAGAGGTTATATGGCAATTCTACCCTTGTCTGATTGGATGCCCTTCCTAATCAGCCGCGGGTCGGTGCGCCACCACTTGTGCTGTAGTGTAATCCACAGAAAACTTTAATTATTCCTTCGATGTATTTTAATACTTCCTTTTTTAACTTTATTTGAGGCTATTATTTTGAATTTATTTTTGAACTTCTTGTATCCTGACAAGGTCTTAATTACGTCCTTTATTTTCCTTAAATCTGTAGCTCAATTTGTTCTTTAGTTAACACAGGGTAGCGAGCATTATGGAAGACACTGATTTATTTAACTCTCCTGAGGCATAAAACCAAGCATGTATATTACGTATAATGCTAAACAAAACACTTCTGAACTGGCAAGAATATCTTTTATTACTTCCAAATGTACACATATAATCCTTCCCAAAAATATACCGAAAGACAAAAGTTATCTCTGTTTTTCACAAATGGCGAACACACCACGGCAGCTCTCAAGGCTGGTCCCGGCCTCCCTATCTAGAGGGGTCGCTATGCTCCTTAGGTCACCTTCTCGGCGGGACCCAAGAGATGCAAATTGTTGTTGTGTACTAATTTAAGGTCTCGTTCGTAGTTTGGCGTAAACAAAAGCGGGGTAATCCCTCTGTTTAGATATCCCTTACGTAAACATATGATTTTATTTTTATTTATTTAAATAAAACGGTTGATTTTATTTATAGTGTATTTTAATCGAAACGTCATCAGCACGTCCGTCAGATCTGCTACAGCGCCTCGGCGGTGACTTCCCCTACGACACCTGCGTTGACTTCTCAATATGTCGTTTCTCGGGCTCGAGCCAGTAGTCAGAGCGCAGGCATTTTACGACTGCCGCGACGAGGAATTGAACTCGGGACCAACAGGGTCGGAGTCCATTTCTCTAGACCAACTGGATTATTGCGGCGAGTCATATATGTATGTATGCACACATACACACACACACACATACACATACGCATATATATATATAT